CCGAATGACGTCACTCGGGCGCCATGATAAAGGTCGGGCGCCAGGAGAAGAAGCGCCTTGTGTTTTATTGAGGGCAAAGACTGAACAAACTGCTTTCTGCTCTGCTTCAATTTTTACTTAAAGTCACTGCTATGAGGAGAAACGGGTAACACATTGTCTTTGTCAAACTAAACAAACTGCAAAAAGTGAAAATTGATACACGCAGCGAATCTAGGATCAGAAGTAGGTTAAAATTTATTGCACTGGACGTTTATGGGTGACTGCTTGAAAAGACACAACCATTATGCGATCTTCACACTCTCACTTGGAAGACAACTTTTTACTTATTACTTTGTCAAAAAAAAATTATTTTTCATTTCATTTTTTGAATTTTTCTAAAAAAACTTTCAGAGCGAGTTAAATGTTTGAATCTCAAGGAAAAAGTGATGTAATCTGTCACAAGAGTTATCAAAGTTTTTAAAAATAAATAAAAATACAGAAAATGTAACATTTATATATTAATTTTTAAGAAGTTTTTATAGTATTATCCATTAATAGAAATTCTCCAAAAGATAATGATTTAAATAAATTGTCAAAAACTTATTTACGTGCACACCAATTTCGTTACCCTTGCACCCCCACCCTCCAATAAAAAGATAGTTTTGCGGTTTTAGCAGCTGCAAGCAGTGAAATCGGCAGACAGGTGTTCGCTGTGATAATGGCCTATGTGAATGACCTATAAAATTGGCAAACATCTCATCCGATGGCGTGCGCGCATCGTCATTATGAGGAAAAGAGCGGCGTCCTGCTTTTGCAGCCAAGTCGCTCATTTTACACGCAGGAATGACCACTTGTTGTTTCCTTCATTTGTGACATGACGTGTCAAGAATGAAAATTGCTCCTGTACCTAACGAGTGTTTACATGTTGCGTAAATTATTGTGAACGCATTATTGTGTGTGGGTTTTGAATGTGATAAGTGATAAGATAAACAAAAACCACAATGCCATCATACTCTGTGTGAACATATTAATGCGGGGAATGAGCGCACGGCTTCTAATTTGTCCATCTTGCTTGTCTTTAATTTTTAATTTATAAGCCGAAATAAATTCTTCATCTTCTTGAATTAAAAAAAACCGAGATGAAATAAAATCAAATTTATCGCTGGTGCTGATTGCAAATCATTTAGTAAAAGTGGCCTTTCGTGTTGATAGTTTTTGAAAAGGCACTGTCGTTGGAAAGTGACGCGATTGGGCAGATGTGTGCTGCTGAGCGATGACGTTATTTTCTGCAGGTCTGTCCAACGTCTCCGTTGACATGTGCCGTTGCTTCACGCAATATAAATCAAACGCACTCCGCGCCCTAATACTCCGAAAGACTCTCAAATGTATCAAAGTAAATGGATCATCTAAAGTATATTTCCGCACGCCAAGGCTACATTGTATTTGTTTGAAGAAGATCAGAAACGAAAATTTAGCGCTGACAGCAAAATGACCTGAATTTGCAAAACTTGCTGATGAATAAGAAAAGCGTTGAATGTGAAATTGCATGCCAACGATTATCCGCAGTTTTAAAATTTTTTAAATAATCGGGAAAAATATACAAAAATTTGGGCTAATATTTTGGGACAGAAAATATTTAATCAACAAAGAATGCTTAAAGCAAATTTAATTTGGTTTCAAAAAATTACAATAACCTTATTCGAAATTGATCCTAATTTTCCCTGAAAATAGAATGAAAACTTGAACTAAATCAAATTATATTCAAATTAAATACAAACATTCCACAGCCATAAGATACCAACTACTTCCGTATAAACTCACTCCAATAACTGGTATGAAAGGACCTTCAAAAACGACAACAAGATTCTGTATCGTTATATTTTGCAAATGCGCCAATCCGCAAATAGTAAATACGCACAGTCGCACAAAAGGCCGCCCCAAGCGATTCAGCGCTATAAAACTGACTTACATACTGGTACTTTATAATGTCACTCTGGTAAAAGGCGTCCGCTCAAGCAAGAAGAGAAGTCAAGCATGGCCATACTGGATTTTAAAACGTGCATCCAACTCATAAAATAAATACAAACTATGTAGAAAGAACTATACTGTATAAGCTCAAAATAATTGAACCAAATTGAACATGGACTGCATAAATGACCCAGATACATCGTTCATTATTTTAATAAATAAATTTAATTACTCCGAGAGCTGGGATTTTTTTCAATCTGTAATCGCGACAAATTAAAGCTACCTACAAGAAAGAGAACTGGTAAGAAAGAAAAGGAAAAGCTTGGAGCTTTCGTTTAACTGCTTTGAGAGGAGTGAAGTCACTATTCTCAGTGACGCAAATAAATCAAACGTAAACGGGCGTCTCGTGAGATCACGCGTTCCTCTCGATTGCAGATTGTTCAGCTTTGTGCTAATTGCAAAAAGGAAAAGGAGAGCGGTCGGCGCGCCAGGCAGGTGTGTAACCCTTTAGCCCGACGACGCTTGATTTGTGGAGTGACGCAACGAGAGCGAACCCCTGCTTCAAGTAAAGTATATAGGGGACGCGATACCATTGTGAACACGAGCGGCCTTTCTTTTCTTGCACGCCGAGTTGGTAAAATGAATAAAAAAAAAAAAAATGCACAAGCCGGTTTGTTGAACTCGGGTGTGCAGCGAATAAAATGGAAATGCCGAAACAAACCGTTATTCCGCGTTTTATATACCATCGCGGGTGACATCGCAGGAAATGATGTAATGAAAAAGGTGTTCAATTCGGTGCCTACCTTGGGCGAAATCCAACTCGCGGGTCGCAGAGACTGGTGAGTGAGCGAGTGCGGCAGCTGATTTAAATCCCGCAGTGCATCCAAACTGGCTGGGGAATGCACGGCAAAAAGAGGACGCGCGCGAGTCGCGGCGGCTGCGGAGAAACTGGCTTTGCCGGCGCGCGGAGAACAAGGAAGGTCTGTCCCGGCGCCCGGTGGAGGCGCATCTGGTGAGCGTGGTGCTCAATCAGCGCCCGCTCAATTGGAAAACTTCCCTGCCCACCGCCAAGAGGTATACATTTTTTTTTTCACTTTGGAGTGTTTCCACAACGGCTGACCGCAAACACTTCCGAAACTTAAAAAGGAAATTAAATTTTGTTTTTGATAAAAGTTGTGACGTGAGTTTTTTTTATTAAAAGTGAAAATAATTGTTTTAGGGCTATTTTTCTCGGAATGAACTCATGCAAATTAAAACTAAGCAAAGATGGAATTTATCGACGGCTTTACAGACGAATTGTTCTTTCTAATCAGAAAAAAAATGTAACACTGATGCGCAATTATTGGTATTTCACGGGATGATCATTGCTATATCTCATTATCAGTCTTTTATCTGCTTTTGTTTTGGCTAAGTCTAAGTGTTTGTGACCATTCATGATATCTTTTCTTTTTCTACAAACGTTTTGTTGTAATCGCAAATCTATATCATTATCCTTATCATATTTTTTCCTACAATCGGCACTAAAAGTGTCACGTCAATTTTATTGATCTGTGTCCTGTGTCACTCAGGAAGTCCCAACAAGTTTTTCGGGATGGCATTTTTTTTAATTCTTTCTGTTTACTCGGAATAAAAAATATTTCTTCTTCGTATCTATTAGATAAAATTTTAGAGGTTTTGGATAAAAAGCTGTTCGTAAAGTAATTCTTCAAGTTTTGTTTGTAATATACAGTCTTAACTGTGATATAAATGAAAAAAAAACTCATGTCCCTTTGGACCTAAAGAAAGTAGTTTAAATCATTTTTATTCAAAAATGAATGATATTATTAAGGTAATTAAATCATTTAAATCTTAAAAAATGGGAGGCGGATTATTGTTTTAAATATTGTTTACTAATGAATGTTTTAAAATAAATTAATGTTAACAATTATCCTTTAAATATTGAAACTTGAACAATGTATTCTTTAACTTACCTTTCCTATAATTAATTCATTAATTGCTTGCTCTTACAATTAGAATTGATTAAATCAAGATCATCTATAGTTCGATTATTGAAGCTTTTTAATTATTGGTGCTTACTCTCAATGCATATAGATGGAGCATATTTGCATACTGCTTACAACTGCAAACATTTATTTAAATGTCTTTCTCAAGTTTTCCTATACGCTTAAAAGTCACTTTTCTATAAGTAGTAGGTAAAAAAATATTTTTTTTCTGACCATCTAGATCTAGATAATAAATGAAATTTATTATTATTTATTTTTCTTTTCTTTACCTGGCCATGTTCTAGTTAAAGCATCACATTACTGTTGTCCTTATTTTACCACAATCTGATTTTTATTTAATTTTATTTCCTAATATGTGTTAAGAGCTTTGATATATTTCATTAACTTTGGCATGAGAGAAACTGTTTCATAAAACTAGTGTTAGGCGTAAAGTGTGCCAACTAATGGCAAGAAGTGCAGTGGCACAAACAACGCACACTAATCAACACATAAATTATAGTGTGCATAAACCAACATTAGATTAATAATTTATTAATAACTAATTTTGAGGATATATCATAAAATTGAGAGGTGAAAATATTTAACTAAAAATTTAATTTTCTTCTTGATTTGTAACTTTGCAGCATCAGAACATTCAGAATGTCTTTTTGATTTGACTGTCTAGGGAAGTTTCTTTCTATTGATCGGGTGACTTTATAATCTTGAACATTGGTTATCTCCAATTTCCTGTAAATATTTTCTTTTTTCCATGTTATATTTAAAAAAAATGCAAATAAATATATAAATTCATAAATAATCAATAAAAGATATACGGCTCAATATTTAAAGAATTAAAGAAATAAATATGTTATCACAATTTTAATTTTTTTTTCTATAATGATGAAATCTTATTTTATAGATCTATTAAACAATAATAAATGTAGGGAAGAATAAATACAATTCATCATTTAAATTTGGATTAGGTTCAAGGTCCTTTTGACCTCAAATTGTCGTCATACTGTGAGTCAATTTTAATTGCATATCCTTTTATAAATTTGGTGGCACACACAGGAAGGATTCGGACGGACGGAGTTGATTGTCCTGGCAACAACACTTTCGGTCGCGTGGCTTTGGCAGCAAAATTCAAAACAAATGAGCGACACTGCAGCTGCGCGCTCGGATCGATTCTCAGCCGCCCAAGGTCGACCGCCTGCTCCGACAACACAAACATCTGCCCTTCTTCGGCTGCCAAAATCAACACAAGCGATGCCTGGCAAACAGTGAGACGGTCGGCGCGGGACACTGGCCGAGCTGGACAACATGATGGACGAGGCGAGCGGGGCGCCGCAGTCGCCGCACAGCGAGTCCAGCGGCGCCGATTCGGCGCTGCAAGGCAGGTGAGAGAGAGAAAACTCGCGAAGGTGAAACCTCGAAGCGTGACTAGAGTTGTTGTGACTGCCTTTGTTTGGTGTCGTTCATTGATTGAGTCGAACACGCAGTCAAAGGGCTTCTTCGTCCGTCTCGTGTCGTGGGGATTCAAGCTTGGCCTGGATTCTTCCCCTTTGGCCGAGCGGTCACTCGCCAAGTTGGTGCTCGGTGTTTGCCTTGCTAGCCATGAAATGCATTGAACTTTGGAGTTCCCCCTCGAATATTAATCACGCCGACTGCGACCTTCAGTGGCCACCCGACCGAAATGCTGAAAGGTCCGAATTTTCTTTTGCTCTCTCGCGACACGACGACGGATCTTTGCAAATTTTAAACTCCTTTTTAGATGGTTTATTTTGAGGGGTCGCAGCCGCAGCGGTTGAGCCCGTGCCAAATTGCGCTCCGATTTAGAATCAACTCGTGTGTTTTTATACTCTTTGCACTGTTTGTTAAGTTTGTGCCGATTTCAATCTGGCTCTCTTGTTACAGTTGCCTGCTGCTGCGGTATGCCAGCCAGAATTCGCTGGACGAAAGCTCGCAAAAGCCCATGCCCAGGGGCAGCATCAGTAAGGACAAACCGCCCTACCGGAACATGCACCACACTCAGAGGGCCTTTGACGCCATGGATAAGATGAGAAAGTGAGATTTCTTATTTATTCATTAAATTATCAATTTCATAAAATTGAAATTTTTTCATAGTTAAATTACAAATTGTTGAAGCTCTTTATATCAAATTACGTAATTAGAACAAATAATGCATAAAGATGATGCATTCAAAACTCTGAATTTTTTTTCTAGTTAATATTATTTTATGGGTACAAAAAGAGATATTTTATAGGGAATTTTTAAAATTATTTTCTTTCAAAATAAATTATTTTAAATACATTTTTTTCTAGGGAGCATTTGCTCTGCGATGTTGTTCTGATTGCTGAGAACATCGAGGTGCCGGCTCACAAAATGGTACTGGCCTCATGCAGCCCCTACTTCAATGCAATGTTCACCAGTTTTGAAGAGAGCAGGCAAGATAGAATCACTCTGCAGGGCATGGACTCGCAAGCACTCCAGCTTTTGATTGAGTATATTTACTCGGCCGAGATTCAAGTGACTGAAGAAAATGTGCAGGTCAGCATCGTTTTGCAACAACAACCATTATTCTTCTCAATTAAAAATAGAGTATATTAATTGCATTTTATTCTGTCTACAGGTGCTGCTTCCGGCAGCAAATATCCTCCAATTGACTGATGTTCGAGATGCATGCTGTGAGTTTTTACAGACGCAGTTGCATCCAAGCAACTGCCTGGGAATCAGAGCTTTTGCAGATTTGCACGGGTGTTCGGAACTTCTGAGCCACGCTGACACCTATATTGAGCAACATTTTACGTGAGAGCGGTTTAATCAAATTAACTTTGCCGCCAATTGAAATATTTGTTTTCAGCGAGGTGGTGGAGAGTGAAGAATTTCTCAGCCTAAACCCCACGCAAGTGGCGAAGCTGATTTGTAGTGATAGACTGACTGTTCCTTCTGAAGAGAAGGTGGAAATAAATTTTAAATGAGGCATTAAATTATTGAAAAATTTTAGGTTTTTGAATGTGTTGTGAGCTGGGTACAGCACGATCTGGAAGCTCGTCAAAATAACTTGGCAGAATTGATGGAGTACGTACGACTGCCGCTCCTATCACAAGAGTACTTGGTTCAAAGAGTGGAGGAAGAGCCTTTGTTGAAGGCCAATCTACAATGTAATATTTTCATTGAGACAATTGTGCGCCTTCTGTAACAAGACCTATTGCAGGCAAAGACTTTCTTATTGAGGCTCTAAAATATCATCTCTTAAAGGGAGAACAAAAAATTATGTTCAAATCGCCAAGGACAAAACCACGACAGCCAGTCGGGCTGCCAAAAGTAAGATTAGAAATTATTTTTTTTTTAGAAATTTAATCATTTCTTTGACTTTCTCTAGGTAATGTTGGTTGTGGGAGGTCAAGCACCAAAAGCCATAAGAAGTGTTGAGTGTTATGATTTCAAAGAAGAGAGGTGGTATCAAGTCGCTGAAATGCCTTCCAGGAGATGCAGGTATTATTCTAGAATTTCCAAGTTCACTGCTGGAGAAATCTAATATTTCAAACTTTCAGGGCCGGACTGTCTGTGATTGGGGGCAAAGTTTATGCCGTCGGTGGATTTAATGGTTCCTTGAGGGTTCGGACGGTCGACGTCTATGATGCAATTGCAGACCAGTGGAATCCTTGCGCAAATATGGAAGCTCGGAGGTCAACTTTGGGAGTGGCCGTCATGAATGGATGTATATTTGCTGTTGGAGGATTTGATGGCTCCACTGGTCTCAACACAGCTGAGGTTTACGACCCGAAAACACAAGAATGGAAACAGATTGCGCCGATGTCCACACGAAGGAGCAGCGTTGGAGTCGGCGTCGTAAATGGAATACTCTACGCCGTAAGCTGAATTCTTAATTGGATAGTATTGGTTTTTTATTGAGTCCATAACAGGTTGGTGGATATGATGGAGCATCAAGGCAATGCTTGAGCACAGTCGAAAATTATAACCCCGAGACTGATACCTGGCAATCAGTGTGTGACATGTCAGCAAGAAGAAGTGGAGCTGGTAAGGAAATTTATTATTATTATGATTTTTTTTAGTTACTTATGGTAAAATTGTTATTGGAAAATTTGAATTTAAAAAAAAAAATACCAAAGCTTACAAAATTAAATCTGAATTAAAATAAAATATTTTATGATTTTTAAGGAGTTGGAGTTTTGGACAACATATTGTATGCCGTTGGAGGCCACGATGGACCCCTTGTTCGCAAGAGCGTAGAGGCCTATAATCCCGACACATGCAGGTGGTCTCCAGTTGCTGATATGGCGTTTTGCAGAAGAAATGCTGGTAAATTAAAAAAAAATATTCATGTGTTCTATTGAAGAAGGGATTTATTAAGCCATAAATTATTATTGTTACTTTGTTATTACAAAAAAACGGTCACATATCTAGCATGCACTGTTCCAAGTCCAAACTGGCCCTGTCTTATCTAGAGTGAATTAGGTTTTGAGCTTCAAACAATGAAATAACAATCTAATTAAATCATAAACTTGCAAACGCCAAGCAAAATAATAATTCCAGCAATTTTATTATTTTTGCCCTTTTTAAAAGCCAGCAAACCGTAATCATGTCACTAAACCTAAAAGCTCATGCAATTAACAATTCACAGAAAATTGTAACAGAAATTATCCATGAAGTGATTACTGGCCCAGAAAATGCATTGCAGTTTGCAAAATGCACGTTATGCATACATTTTTCATAAGTAATCTAAATATAATCTTGGATAAATGTATGCTCTTATGCCGCTCCACTTTTAGCATGGGGCAAAATTCGTATACAACGATAAAATTAAAAGAGCGGTGGAGTATAACTCAGTATAATTTCTTACATTTTGATTTGTAAGCCATTACTCAGAATATTATGAATATGTAAACTGCGGTGCGTTTTCAGCACCAGTAATCACGTCTGGGATAATTTCTGTTATAAATTCTAGTTTCATGCATGAACTTTTAATTGCAGTGGATATTATTTACACCTTCTTGTTAGTTTATTGACACGATTACTTTTCTCTGAATTTTGGAGAGGGTGAAGCAATTAAAAAAATTGTTGGAATTATTATTTTGTGTTGGTGTTTGTGAGTTATGATTAAGTTAAATTGGGAGATTGTTTGCTCAAATTTTTATTTCTTTCTAGATTTAACCAGTTTTAACTTAGAACAGAGATATGGGACCTTTAGACTAAAAAATACTATATATTGTAATAATAAAGAAAGAAAAAATAGAAATACATTATCCCAAGTACTACTGAAAAAATACATCATGTTATTTAAGTTATTTTAAAAGGTTATAAATTATATTAATCGAGTGTTTGTTTTTAAAGGCGTTGTGGCTTTAGCTGGCCAACTGTATGTGGTTGGTGGAGACGATGGATCATGCAATTTGGCGTCAGTGGAAGTATACAACCCGAAAGCAGACACCTGGACCATGTTGCCATCTTGTATGAGCATTGGAAGAAGTTACGCTGGAGTGGCTATTATTGATAAGCCAATGTAGAATCATTAAACTTCACTGTATTGCCTCTATAAAAGATCTGATTCCTTTTTAAAGTAGAAGAATAATTTTTTTATCGTCAATTATTGCTATGTTGTAGCGAATCATGTTTCTGGATATTGTGATATGGAATTTATTCTATTTCCACTTGCAACTTCATGTCGGATAATAATGTTATTGTGGTCATGTACATGCTTTCCTCTATATATTACAGGAAATTCCTAAATCTAATGGAAAGCTTGGCTAAAAATAATTGTATTTTAGAAATTCTCTTTTTAATTTAAACCTAAAACGCCTTTCAATTTAGACTTTAGATTCTACTGCTTTGGTAAATAAATTTGCATCAAGAAATTTTCCTTAAGTAGTTTATTGATTTTTATTTGCACATCACCAGATGGAATGGAGAAAATTCTTTTATTTGTTAAAATAAAAAAAACTTCCAAATTTCCAATCCTTATTTTTTCATCTTGAAAATATTGGTTGGCTTTTCAATTTCGGTATAATATTAGAAGCAACTGAAGGCAGTATTAGCTTTCAAAAGTTGCTGCCATGGGAACTGGGAAGGGTCCAAAGAATATGGATTCAGTACTTTGATATTCTCATATATTCCAGTGCACATATTTTTGAGTTTTCATATTTCATGGAGCTCTCCTGTTGAAATGCACTCTCCACATGGGAATGTCTCCCTTTGAAGCAAACAGAAGTTGCTAAAATATTTAAGCTCACTCTCAGTCTGCCAATATCACACACTCTCGCATGCATAAATACTTTGTTGAGAATGCATGCATGTGTGTGGCCTTTAAAAGATTGTGTGTAGTCTCACTCACACAAAATTGAACTTAAATATTAATTCAGTTACTTCATGAAAATTTTTCTGGGCAACATTCGCATATGAAAATTTGAAACAGTCGGGTTTTTTTAGCAAGAAATAAAAATTATGTTTTTTACTTAAAAATAAAAAACGCGTTTTTTTAAAACAAAAGTTTGATAAAATTAATTAAGTAGCTATAATTTTTGAAGAAAATTTGCATTGATATTTATGTTTTAATTATGATCATATTTTATTTTTTGAAATACTGAAAATTAAAACATTATTAATTTCTTTCAATGATTTTTCAAAAAAACATATTATAATAGATCTCTATGCATTTAATCTTAGTTATGAATCTTTATATTGATGCTGTTTATTTGTGCACATTGTAACAACAAATAAGGTGAAAGCCGCAAAAAATGATAGTGAAACTCAAAATCATATATAAGAGAGTAAAATTAACAATTATATAAAATGGAAAAATAATTTAAAATGCAAAGAGGGCAATTTTAGCCGGTTTATTTTTGACCAAGTTCCATTGAAGTCTCGCCAATGTACCTTTTACGCTTTGTGGCTCCCTGTACTGGCCTAACTCATGGTCAGTTTAGTATGTTTTGTATTCAGATGAGAGCGCAGAGGGTTACAAAAAAAGAAGTAATAAAATAATGAGCGGGAGATGAAGCGAGAAAGGAAAAGATTTGGTCAAACACACATATGAGAAACAAAAGCTGGGAAGCTGCCATGAACCAAGTGCGACAATGAGAAAGCAAACATAAAGCGCGCCCCTTGTACATCTGCAACCCCATCATTTGGCAAAACACACAAAGCCTTCATACAAAATTCTTTTCCAAGCAAACCAAAATCGGCGGGGAAAATTTCTCTTTCACATCTCAAATGAGAGATGGATGAAGGAAAATAAAGAGTCTCATTTCCATTAAATTTGTACGTATATTTTTTAAAGAGATCTAAAGGTTAAAACAGAATTAATTGCAGGATACTTTAATATTATTAGTTTTTTGGAAAATTTGCCTGGCAAGAAATGAGAGTTCACAAAGTTCAGCTTTCATCCATTCGGCGGGTTTCTATGGCAATTTTGATTCGGGGCGCGCTAATAGGATTAGCGAGAGCGGAGGACTGACTCCACCACACAAGTTACCATATTAGCCATCTGCTTGTTGGAGATTAGAGAGTCAGACAATGACTCTTCCAGATTATGACGGCAGAGCCTGGATATGTGTATTTTACTGATTGCCGCGCGACTATATTCCATCAAGCCGGGCTAACCACGCAGGCCTTTGAATTTAATTCAAAGGATGGTTAGATTTTTGCAATTATTTTCCACAAAATTCTTAGAACTTCACAAGGAAAGGCAAGTTTTGCTGTTGTGCTTTGTTTTATTTTTGACATTTTCTTCCTGCGTTTTGCAATTTACAGCCCCTGCTGTAATAAAGTGCAGACCGTCATCCCTCATTCATGGCGAGGCACTCTTTCCATGCGATTAAGACCCACGGCACTGGATAATATTGCAATGAAGCCAGCAGCGAAATATAGTTTCACCCCTAACCAGTGTATTGTACGGCAGGCACCAGATGCAAGTTATAGACTTGACTCCACCATTGCATAAAGCCAAATAAAATTTAGAGTATATTTGTGTGAAAGGTGAGAAAAGACATTTTATTATTATACATAAAATAATTAGGAAAAAAAAGAATTCAAATTATTTATATTGTTTATTTAAATCAGTCCACAGCAAAAACAATCTCTAACACTTTTTTCGTGGTAGAATTTCACGATCGAGGGTTGATGCATGGTGATTTGAATTAAAAATCGGCCTTTCCTCTAACACTATGAAATTGATTGGAAATTTTAATTTATTTGCAAATAATGACAGCTGTTAGAATTTTGAAAACAAGCACATAACAATTTAAATTAATTGTTTGGTTTGGATGAATTTTAAAATCAATTTCTTGTATTTTTTTTAAAAATTGAAAAATTTTATTATTTATGTAATTTAATTTATAGTTAAAAATATTTTTTATATTTTACCATATATTATTAAATAACTTTCAATTTCTTGTTGAAATAGGCGTTTTTTTATGAAGTATTTCTTTTAATATGATAGTATTAATATCAGCATAGCATTTCTTGACTGTATTAATGCAATATAGCGTTTTACCAAATAATTAACAAAATATTCCTTTTTTTTTTTGCACAAGAAAGTTGAATTTTAATGAACTATAAAATAGTTAAAATGAAAATCATTTCTTGTCACAGCACTCCTGCAGCGCTTGAAATTAGTGCGATCAAAGGTGAATTCAAGCAAGGGCGCCGAGTGGCGAAAATGAATGATTTTTCCTGTTAGTTAAGCACAAAACTTATTGGATGAAAGCAGCGATGCAGCCCATCTTTTTAAATGACGCCTCCAATCAAATTTTCCTCCCGTGCACGCTGCTACTGATGAAGAGAGAAAAAAACGCATTGCACATCTCACCGTCACAATCAACCATCATCGATTCAAATGAAATAAAAGGAACCCTAGCTTAAGCAAACACAATTAAAATATACACACGCGCGCGCGCGTCAAATAAGAAGAAGTTTGGAGAGTGCGCTCGCGAAAGAGAGAGAATTATGATGATTATTATTTGGAATAACAAACACGCAAGCAGCAGGCGTATTTCATTAGCTAAATCTGGCAGCCGAGTTCACGTTAATGGTATTTGCTGTGCTCGAGTGGCTGAGAGTTAAAAGATAGAGAGATGAAGCGAGAGGGAAATTGCCGCCGCGCTTTTTGAGATATTATTTGGCCTGGCGGATACACACGGTGCTTTTCTCCTTTCGCTCCCTTGCTCGCTCTTCTTGTTGGAGAAGAGAAGAAAATAAGAGTCGCGCCTGAATAATGACTTGCACGCTCTCTGCGCACTCCTTTTCGCTTTAATTTTATATTGCTGCTGTGCCGCGCCTGTAATATTATTAAAAGACGCTCCTTTCTCACTCCTGCCTCCTCAAAAATGAGCCTCAGCCCTAACAAGGGAGCCGCCACCGCTGCACCACTGCCAACTTGTGTTTCCTGCTGGCGCTGTTTTGGTAATGAGAGTTAGCAGCTCAACACCCCGCCTGCAGCTTTCAAAAGCCTTATACCCTTTAAGTTTTGCTGCTTTTTCTGGAGTAAAAAAATGGAGTTATATTGGTCAAAGAATTATTATTAAAAAATATGCCACTTTGGTTTCAAAATCATTTGGCTGAAATCATAATTTTAAGGAAACTAAATAATTAAATAATCTTTTTTTTTTAGTTTTCGGCTTCCTAATTGTACCGATTTCTTTTTAAAATTATGATCCAGTTTTCTTTGTATTTTAATGATAGTAGTAAGCAAGCAAAATTATAATTTATCATTATGTTAAAAGTTCAGTTTTAATAATAATTGCAAAAATTTACACCTCTTTAATAATTGTTTACTTTGATTTTGACATAATTAAAGTTAAGCACTCAATTTATATCATTGAATTTTCAGTGCGATTGATTAGATTTCTTCTACACTAAAAGTCAGCTTTAATTCAGATCAAAGCTTCTTTTAAATTGAGCAAATTATTTTGCCTATAGATAATATCGCATGATAAAACCTTATATAAGACTTATATATTAAGCTTGTATAAGCGTAAATATAAGAAGCTAAAAAAAATCATTTAAAAAAACTAAATCTGCAATACTTTTTATAACTATTTATATATAACAAACTTATTTGTTATTGATTTTTTAAATTATTAATATTATTGTCGTAAATTTTTAATAATTTGATCAATTTGATGTCATTCATGAATTCTCTTCACTTGATTTTTATCTAGTTTTTAAAAAACAAACTACCTTTTTTTAAATTTTAATTTTATATAATTAGGCTGATTTGCTGAATGTCTATATTGAATAAAAATTATATCATTGTCTTCTAAGGCTGATTCTTTTGTTCTTTTCATTTTAGCTGCAGATATATGTACGGAAATGCTGAATGAATTTTGTTAAATGTTTGTCTAGAAAGAACACCATTTGAAGCAGTAAAATTTAAACACTATCTGTTTTATAACAAATTACAAAGGAAGTAAAAATATTCAGATAAATCCGAACAATTGTTCTAGATTTCTAGGATTCTACCTGTCAAATTTTAATATTTTTTTTCCAATAGAATTAATTATTTATCTTTGGGACCTATTTGAGGTAAAAAATAAACAAGTTGGCTTGCAAAATTTATATGACTACAAAAGCTAACGAGTTACAAAGCAAGTCATCAAAATCCCAGCACTCAAGCTAATCAGCAAAGTGGACGAGTGCGACGACAAGGGTCAGCGTATTTAAGTAAGTATGCATCATCGCAAATCCCTCTTCTCGGACAGGCCGGTATAATAAATTTGGCCAGCACCCTCAGCACGGAATTCCTTTTCCCACTTGACACGTTTTATCTCTTTTTTCGCGAATCGCGCGCGGCCATAATCATCATCGCAGCAGTGCGAACAGTAGAGGAGTAATTTCTCCCCAGCGATGCTTGCTCTGGTGGACACATTTAAGGAGGGCAATAAAAGAAAATATTCACAAAAGAGAGGAAAGAAGAACGTGGTTTCCTATTACTGGAGGAATGTGGCTCGCCGAGGCGTCTTGCTCGCACCCCATGCATCTCTCGTTCAGATCAATCTTTCTTTTCACCCTCTCGCCAAATCTTTTGTAAATTGGGTAGGTGGCCGCTTTTATTGCCCGGCATAAAAAACGCAGGAATGCTGATGAAAATGTATCTCATTGTGCGAGCGAGCTCCGAAAGGGACACAAACATTTGTACCCTCGGAGAAATTTTCCGCCCTCGTGGCCAATCGTTCGCAGTCACCGATCATTGTCGGAGAATTCCACTCGCGCAATAAGAGAATTAATATTTCGTCTGTCCAAAAGCCCCCGGCGTTTCGGCTGATTGATTTGGATTCTCAATCGCATGGAAATTTCTCGTCAAGGGAGAGCGAGCGAAATTGGATTGGGAACTTCCGAAGCTGGGATTCTAAAAATTATTATTTTCCGCGTTCTCTAAAATAAAGTGCCAATTTGAACAATCATAACACTTTCAGTTTATCGCAAAAGGTATTGAGTGTGCTATAATTTATAATTGTTAATTCATATTTAGATTTAAATTAAATTTAAATCAATAGACATATTTATTAAATATCGTTTTGTTTGCTTGTGAAAAAAGGTACTTAATTAACTTAATTATAAAGTTTAGTTTTATATCCAGGATACACAAATATTCCTAATTAAAATAAATTAATTGGGTTCAGTAAAAGATCTGCTTCTGTTTGTAAGTTAAGCCTGGGGGTTTTCCTAATGCTGTTCAAATCCTTCAAATCATTAGAACAGGAATGATAAAATGTTTTTTTTTTTAAATGCAAAAATTTATTGTTTTTTTTTTTATAAATAAATAAACTGATGTTTGTTGATTAAACGCTACAAGCGTGCAACTGCTTACCCCTAAAATAAACTCAATAAATTAAAAGCCGAAATTGATAAAATGCATGATGCGTGCATTATAATTAACAAAAATAAGCATTTTTTTTTATATAATGTTTTTAATATTTTGCTTTTTTGTTGCTATAAAAGAGTATAAAATTCAAGTGTCTCCATAATTAACCCACTGCGAAAAGAGCTATGATGTATCATTTCTAAACTTACAATTTTTTTTGCCATTCAATGATTCCTAATTAATTAAAATGTCACCAATTCAATAACATTAACACTAACCTTTTGTTTGGACATTTTTGCTCTTTGCATATTCATAAATTATTATTTTAATGATCAGACCTTAAGCTAAATTTTGTCGGATTCACAATTGTCAGTCAGAGTTAAATTTTATTAAGTTTTATGCAAAGAAAAAAAAATGTTTATTTTAAGTTACTATAGAATTTAGAGTTGAATTTGACGCAAGCTAACAAAATTTTGTTACATTTTGCATGTAAATTCAAAATCAGCACAGACAAGTTCTGACTGAAGTACCGAGGTCAACCAGAAACACGGGTACTGCCGAGTAAGACCACCGCTCTTCTTGTAGGACGAGGGTTAAATGAAAGAGACACGCTTGCACGCATGTAGCGAACTTACCTGATTTACATACCGATAGGGCGACCCTTTAAAGTGGTTCAAAGACCATGCAGTGGAGGTTTTGTGTGCGAGCGGCGACTCCCTTGAGACTGCCACTGTGTGTCTCCGGTGCTGCAAGTTGTCTGGCGAAATTGAGCTGATGTGTCCGCCGCTGCATACCAAAGATAGCGAGAGACCCTTGCCTATGTCCCTAAGGGACTAAATTTAATGGATATGTGATGATCTACCCGGGAATACAGATAGACTCGGAGCACCTCTACGCGCCCGCCGAAATGGACTTGTCATACTGGAAGCGTTGCTGCCACACACGAAACCTCATTCTCAATGGACGTGTTCGGTTATCCAACATGTGATTAATCTTGTGACGCTTCCTGCAAAGATGCCCATAGATGTTAACACATGTTCCCTCCACTTATTACGCTCTTAATTCCTGTTGAAAATGCTTAAAATTTACTATTTTTTTGGTATATATATGCTTGTAAATTAACATTTAATTGATTCAATTTAGTAAGGTTTTTTATTAGTCATCAGACTATTATTAAGTTCATCTATTTTTAAGATTATTATTAATTTTCTTAATTAATTATTAAATTATGTAGTTTCATATTTTTTGTCGAAAAAATCAATAACACCTATTTTTTCTCAATCCAAACATCGCAATGAAAATTTTCAAAGCGTATTTCAATCAATCGAGAAACTAAAAATTTGCGGAATCTTCTCAAGAAAAATTAAAAAATTGCACAGACAATGTTTTCTTATAAAACGACCAAGTTCTGATGAGATTTTAATTACAAATTATTGAAAAACAGCGCAGTAAACGTCAATTCTATGTACACGTTTATTAAATGAGGTCAAAATGTTGACACTTTTAAACGTGCATTGCATAAGACCTGCACTATTAAAAATTTATGCATGGTGGGAGATATTACGCAAGAGTGATTCTTGAAGAGTTTCCCTTGTAAAAATCCTTTTATCTCAAAAGGCGTATTGCGGTTTCCACGTTTCGCGTAATGCGATTTATTATTTTAAGTAAGGGTACACGGTAAAACGCTTTTGGTGTCAAGTGCCTGCTTCTCTAAATCGTGCTTGAGACTTCATTATCAAGTTTCGAGGTATACTTTGCAGTCCTAATCTGATTATTATTTTTTTTTAATTTTTTATATGGACAATAAAAATTAAATATTTTGTGTAGATGAATTTTTTTTTTGACCGAATTTAAACATTTAATCTCTTAATTAAGAGCCTATGAAGAAAATAAAATCTTGAATGATTTTTATTCACATTGTGTAATAAAATAGATTAAATTAGATTAGAAGTTTAATATCTTCAGTAATTTTTTTTTTGCTTCGAACTTTAAAATTAATTCACTGAGAGCAAAATAAAGATCAATTTCTTGTGTTCGTTAACATATCATGTGATTGATAATAAGTAAAAAATTATTAATATATTTGATAAAAAATCTATTAATAGATTTTTTCGTCCTGCTTTGAAATTTGAAAAATAATTACGGCATATATAATCATTAAGTTACTAATTAGCAAGAATGAGACAAAGAAGCCGCCAGGTGTTCTCTCGTAACTGGAGATTCTGTTTAAATTTGGGGAAGGGTGAAACTAATATTGCGTAGGCCAGGTAGGCAACGTGCGTGACACATCTGTTCAGCAGTTAGTCTACCCTATTTGCGCTTGGCAAGAAGTGATGAAGGGAAGATAATCTGGCCGGAGCTCATAAATAATTGTTCGCTTGTATAGCTTAATGATGTTATTTTCAATTCTGTTAAAAAAGGAAAAGGAATTTTCATGTTGAGCACGGGCAAATCTCTCTTTGAGAGAGAACTTATTATATTCAATTCCATCATATGCATTGTTAGTGTAGTGCAGTCGTGCAATTGTGTAACGCCCATGCAAATAACTCGGAAAAGTACTAAATTATTCACTGTGCAGATCAACCAAAGAATGAGGCGCCCCACATCATTGTGCGATCACAAGTGTTTGCTTTTTTGCAAGCGGAGCGCGCGCGAGAGGAAAAATCGGAGAGCTTTTTTCAAGTGGATCTAAAAAAGGAGAGTTAGTTGTGCGTGGGGGACGAACGAGTGTTTAGCAACGCGAAGGGTCGTATTTAATTTTATAATTGTTTGTTGCGATAAGAGAATATTGATGATAAAAAACGCCGCGCTTATTTTAAACTATAGTGTACAGTTTCGGATGTACTTCTCATTTCACACAAACGCACGGACGAACAACACCACTTGGAATCGCAATTCAGATTTCAAAGCAATGCAAAGTCCGCTCGAGTTTCAATTAGCAAGTGGTCGTGTGCCATGAGCCGCGCTGTCCGCCGTTAACGGTGTGCGGTGCGGAGAGCGATTGTCGCGATTCTGCACCACCGAGGAGCGCGGTCGGTGTCTTGGCTTGAAGAAAAGAAGCCTTTCTTCGTCGCCTCGAGTCAAAGCATGCGCACACCTATTTTTTCCGCGACCCGGCGGTGATTTTTCTCGGTGGAAAAGAAGACAGCTCCTCCCTCGTCGTTGGCTTTCTCCGCCCATCGGCGAGCGCTAGCCGCCGCCCTCAAGAAGGAAATCTTAAGACGAGGGAGTGAGGGTGCCGGTGTGGGGGGATGGCAAACTTTTCGGCATATCCACATGTTGAGTTTTTCCACGGCGTGTTTATCACCGAAGGGCGCCGGTGAAATACGAACTGCGCTATTTTGGCTTGTAAAACGAGAACGAGGAGCGCGTTTCTGGTGCACCAAAGAGGTGTGGAAGGTACGGTAGGCCAGCGCGTGGAGGTAGTGGTGGTAAGCCCCATATCCCACCAGCGGCGGCGGCGCTCTGCACCCACCCTGTGTGTACGAAAGAAGTCGTCTCTGTAAAAATATAGCCCTACCCTCATTTTTACCCCTCCCGTCGCCGCCCGCCACTGCCGCCGCCGCCAAAAAGAAGAAAAGCTGCCGCGCTGTGCGAGCATGTGTGTTAGTGTGAGTGAGTGCAATTTCTCTTCTTTTTATGTCCCACTGAGGTAGGGTTGGCAAGTTTGGCCGCCGCCGCCGGTAGTGGGGAGGATCTACACCCACAGAAAAGGCCGCGATATGATTCTCTAATTGGGCGAGTGTGGCAAACCTCAGTGGTGCACCCAACAATCCACAACTGCACACCGCATGCTGCTGCTGCTGTAGCCGCCGCTGACAGCCATGACCAAGACCAGCGTCCGCAAGATGCACGCAGAGTCGACGGCCGCGGCGGCCACCAAGGCCAGTAACGGCTCGTCGACGGCCTCGGCGGCCAACGAGCCGCTCACCGTTGAGAACTTTGCCGAGAGGGCGCTCAGCGAGATCCTGGCCGAGCGCCCTGGCGAACTCGTTCGGACCGGAAGTCCGCACTTTGTGTGCACCGTGTTGCCACCCCACTGGCGCTCCAACAAGACTCTGCCCGTGGCCTTCAAGGTGGTGGCCCTCGGCGACGTGCTGGACGGCACCCTGGTCACCGTGCGCGCTGGCAATGACGAGAACTATTGTGCCGAGTTGAGAAACTGTTCGGCGATCATGAAGAACCAAGTGGCCAAATTCAACGACCTCAGGTTCGTCGGAAGAAGTGGCAGAGGTGAGTGTGATCTGTTTTCGTATCTCTGAGCCTGGGTTGGTTACACGCAATAATTTGGTCGTTAAAATCTCTCAATTAAGCGCTCACCGCAATGCATGCATACGTCGAGGCGGCGGCGGGTCGGTGGCGCGGTGGGCTTGAAGAAAACCACCAACCGCTCTTGGGATGTTTAATGGAGCCGTCGTTTTCATGTTTTGAGGAAAGGTTGGATTTAATGTGGTGGAAAATTATTATTATTAATCATTCATGAGGAGTCATACAAAGCTAAAAGATTTCTGCTGTAACAATAAAAACGGAAAAATTTGAATTAAAGACAACTTTGTTGAGGAAGTGAAGAATTTGCAGAAGTTATTCCACATATTTATCATCAATTCTGAAACACGCAGAATTATTTTAATAGTTTTAGTGACGGAGAGAGTGAAAAAACAGTTTGCTTGGTAGACTGGCCCATATAAACTGTTGACAGAAAATTATTTAATTTAGTTAATAAAGTAAAAAAAAAAAAATATATTCAAATTTGAAATATTAACTTTAAAAGTAATATTAATATTAATAGCTATTTATTGAAACTTAAAAGCGTATATTGAATATAAATTTAAAAAAATTTAAATTTTATTCATCATGATATTTAATTTATTTAAAAGTAATATGAAATCTAATTATTAAAAAAAGTACTAGATAAACTTTGCGTACAAATTTTACTATTTCTCTTAAAAGTCCTGCTGTCAGCTAATACTTATTTTCTATGTGCTTAAACTTAATTTTCACGCTACGCTCATGAATGATTTACAGTACATTAAAAATAATTATCGCACTGTGCCGTATCGCAACCCTTGTCACTCCCCAGAACCCATTCTCAAATTTGCATATTCGCAGCTTATTCGTAATTAAAGAATTAATAATCTGGCTCGCGATGCAACCCCTTTTGTACCGTTTTACGCTGATGCGATGAACACCCCTTTTGCACTCTCTCTATTTGAAAACATTATTGCGTTGCGAGAAGCTGTCGAATGTTGAGCGCACGCGACCCTCTTTTGCGCTCCTGTGTTTTTTACTCTTTAATCTTATCCATCCCCATGTACGCGGAGCTAGAAGAAAATATGCTTCGCCCGCTCCCTCCCCAGCGGAAAAGTAAATCTTTGAGAAAACTTTCTCATCCCCCGTCCGCACGCTCGGAAAATAAGGCGAGTGAATTCTTCTCTCGGCGACGGTGGGCGACCCTTGGGAAAAAAGCTCCCAACAAACTTGCTGGCCATTAGCACGGCTTAATTAACGCTGCTTTGCAAGAAGACAAATTAAATATGTATGGAAGAGCGGGCCGAAAAGAGCATCTCTTTCCGCTGCCGATTTCTGACATTATCGCAGCAGCGGTAGACAAGGGCGCCTTTTTTAATGAGCTGCATCAAAAGGTTATCTGAGGGCATAGTTTTTATTTAAGGAGGTCTCAAATGTCGGCAAGACCTTTACCAGCAGGTGGCCGACACTCAAAATGAAGAGGGGCTAGAATGCCTTTTTGTTTTTATCAGCGCTTTCTACAACTATGTTTTTAAAATAGGTTATTTGAAATTTTTAACTTTTAATTTTTGGTAAACAAAAATTCAGAATTTAAAATAAAAAATTCGAATTATTATAATATCAATGTATGTTTTCATTAAATTTGATCATTCCAATAAATAAAAGTATTTTTTTATAGTTTCAAATAGAAAATTATTATCGTTATTATTAAATTAATAATAATATTAATATTGTTGTTAATTTATGTTAATTTATGTTAATTTTTACATCACATTGTTGCAAACCATTTTTTAAAATTAAAAAGTTTTAAACTTATTTTAATGCAATTTTTCAATCAACTAAACAAAGCATTGTTAAATAATTGATTTAAAATGCCTACTGTTAAAATTTGTCTTAAAAAGCAGCTATTTTTTATATATATATATATAAATGCACTCTCAAAAAAAAATTATATACTTAAATTATAAACTTTTTGCTAATTTGCAGTGCAGTATTTTGGAATTCGGAGAAGATTCTGCCGAGGCGTAAGCTCATAATAAAATCTCTCTATGCAGAATGCAATAGCCTTGTATAAAAAGGGGGAAGAATCCGGTTTATCCTTTCTTAAGCTTTATTACACCGTGTTTATTAAAGAGATTCTGTGCAGCATAACTCGAGGCAAAAAACAATTTGTTCTACTCAAGTTTAATTACAATGCTGCCGTTGGAGCCAAGACTTGCGAGTGCGGAGCTGCTGTTTTTACTCCAAACACGCTCGGGGGCTACCGACGAGCTCTCGCATTGATGCTGACAATATTAAAATCTCATATAATACCCCTCGCCCCCGCGCCTTACACTGAATTCCTGATGAGCTTTGTTAAACGCACTATCCTGACCCGCCAACGCAAATAAGACCCTAATGAAAATAATGAAAAGCCAAAAGTCGTTCGATTTTTTCAAAAGAGGTTTTCATATTTTTTTGATAAACTGCAGAATCGACGCAAAAACGGGTCCCTTTGTTGTGCTAAAACGTCACAGCTGCTTTTAACGCGCGTACGTCATTTTTAATATGTGGACAGTGTGTGAGAAGTGAAACGTGCGTGGCCCTCTCTCTTTTTACGCTTTTTCGGCGCTCTTGCTCTTTAAGTATGTGCAGAGAAGCAGGAGCTCGGGGGTCCAAGTTCAAATGGTGACAAATTGATCGATTGTTGTGGATGATGTCACCCTTGCTCCTTTTATACATTATTATATTCCTTATTCGCCGGGGGAGAAAAATCAACCCTCCGCGTGCCGACCTCCCTCGTCGTCGCTACTGTTTCCGTATTATGTTCGCTCACACCCTCTCCTTTTGTGCGAGTATCATACGCGATTCCTGTCTAGGACAGCTAGCATGACAGACTTTTTGAGATCACGCAGAAAATACGTTTGAGAGGAGGAGAGAGTTTAAAAAATGACAACATTGCATTATTAGTGACAAGGTTTTATAAACAGATTTTGACGAAGAAGCGGCAATAAAATAATAATAGATTTGAACAGTTTAAAAAAATAAAAGCTTAAAATTATTTCTCGTGCTTCATTGAGAATATTGCATCTATCAATGTGCATTAATTGTTATTCTTTGTGTTCGAAGATAAAATAGAAAAAAATCAATTGTAATGGCCAAGTTTATGTAACTGAACTGACCGTATCTCTACAAAATACGAAGTGAAAATGATCATGTCATCGATAAACGCATGTATTTTTTTGTCAGAGGAATAAAAGATTTATTAAGTAAATTTTTTTGGCGATATTCAATTAATTTAAAAAATGAAATGCACCATAGATGGATCTTCTACATTCAAATTTCTTTAATGATAAGAATATCTAATTTGCTATAACGCTTGAAAATTCTTATCAATTGTATATTTTGTTATTATTTTTATGGGTTTCAAATTATATAAAATAGTAAAAACAAAAATAACTGAATACCTACATTGAATAAAAATAAAATATGTTAAAATAATTTTTAGATTTATATGTTTAAAAAAAATATGTTACTAAATGCTTCAATAATTGTTTATTTATTGCGTCATTTAATTTATAAATTGAAATTTTTAAGTAACCATTATTGAACTTGACATTCTTCCAGCCTAATGAATGGTAGTTTTTCCCCACACCTTGCGAACTCGGTTGCGCGCGGAGACTTCTGTGGTCCATCGCAAACACAACCCTCTTTATCTTGTTACCCGAGACGCGCCTCTGCACTCTATGTGGTTCTCACATCAAACATGGCCCGGTGTGATTCTTTTGCTGGAAGTCTTTCTAACGAATCTGTTGGTCGGGACGCCAGTTTTTTCTCTTCTTTTTTTGCGCCACGGTAGTTTGCGTGTTTGATTCTGTGTGTGTGTCGATGATGAAAGAGAGGAAGCCCGAAAGCCGCCGAGGTTTCCTTTGTGCACCACGCCTAGCACAGAGAGAGCAAAGAAGAAAAGATGCATGTGACAACTCACATGCATGCTTTGTTTTTTATTCTATTTCACGGTGCGCCACACTTTATGGTTTGTTAGGGTGATATCGATTTTTATGCGGAAGACGTTCTGTTCTTCATATTTCAAGAGGTTTTTGCTAAAGGGAAGGTTTGAATTTTAAAACTTTATACAATAATAATCACAAAAAAGAATCTGATCCACTTTAAAAATTATTTGTATTTCTCCAATTCAATTTTTTTTAGCATTTTTAAAATTAGATAATTTTACAAACATTTTTTTAGATAAAAATTCTATTTGTTTTTTTTTCTTAATTTGAAAATAACTTCAAACTTCTAAATTTATTTTTCATCGTCAACTTAAAGTTTCTTCCATTTACCAATTATCTCTCAAATTTGACTTCAAAAAGCATAAAATTCCCATGTGTATCTTTATACTTGGATTGGAAAAGTCTCCCTCACACGAGCTGGCTGAGCAGAGGTTATGAAGCTCTTTGGAGCGTGAATTGTTTGTCTCTCTAGCGTAAGTTGCTCGAGTTTTGTCTGCGTGGTCCTTGTTGGATTGCGGCGGATAGAGACGTGGTGGGTGTGTAATGAGATAAACGCTATCCGCCGCCGACGACGACGCAACCACCGCACCACGGCGTTTTTGTCGTTTCGTCCCTCTCCAAGTATTGCCAGTGATGAAGAAGACACGCGAAAACACACTGCCAAATTTCACGCTGGTTAAGAACGAGCCGAGCGTGATGTGCGAGCGCCCACTCTGCTAGAAAATAAAAGTGGCTGCCCAACGGCAGTTGCGAGGAAGCAAAATGCGGTTTTGTAGAAAAGATAAACTGAGGAATGTTTCAAAATGTTTATTTTTTCTTAAAATTTTTTCACAATTATTGAGCTGTTTCAACTATAGATGTTTAAAATCCTGATTCAAAATTCTTTTAAGGAAGAATTTTTATGTATTTTAAAATCCTTTTTTTAAATTTTAAAGAAATTAAAAAAAAATCTTTAGAAATCTTGAATGTAATAATTTAATTAAATTGTGTGTATTGAAATAACCCTGTCAGGACTCCACCACTTTTTGCGCGCACGCTATTGAGCAAATGTCTCAATCCAAGCACTGGCATCTCGCTCTGCTTTCCAACTCCGCAGAACTTTACAGCCACGCATTGAAGCATTCTGTTTGCGGGTGATAGTCTGCGGTAATCCTCGTTGGCTTACACAGCGACGTGTTCGTTTGTACCAATTTATGCATGGTGCACAGCCCCAATCGAGTTATATTGAGGCTATATATTTTGCAGTTCCCATGCCAGAATAATAACGTCTTTATATATCGAATCAATATGGGTGTGTGTGTTCTTTTTATGAAGGTTCAATGTGCGGAGAGAGGGAAAACAAGCAAAACAGAGAGATGCCATTTGGCTCGGAAAATAGCTGACTTGGCGACCCAATTCGATTCTCGTCTTATTTTGTGGGGTTTAAATTGAAACGCGTGGCGACATGAAAGCCGAGCAACCTCGGTTTTATTGTTGGACTTTTTCCAGAGCAATCAAGCAGTAGATTTTTTTTGCGGATTTTCATTTTATTTTTAATTTACTCCTCCAGTAAATAAGAAGTAAATTGATAATAATTTCCCCCTTTGTTTCATTCTCCAAGCAAATTAAGAGAGAATTCTGCCGGAATTCATTTATTGTAATTTATTATTCAAAGCTTGACTGAATCGCTGACGTTTATAGTAGGTTGCATGTCTGTCAGGGGCGTTTAGACGCAAATCATCCCTCTCTTGCTCGCACTCCACGGTGGCAGTGTTTGCTTTGTTGACTGCCTACTTCATAACAAAACCACGCAGGCAGGGTTGTATTTTGGGGTTGCATCCGTGTTCCCGCCCTTTATAATAATAATTATTATTGTTGGCCGCCGACTCGCGCGTCTTGCCTCTTCTCTTCGCCTAACACGCAAGAAGTCTCATAAATATTTCACGCTTATTCCAAAAGTGAGAATGGTACCGAGCTGCACAAGTCGGATGTGTGTGTGAGACTGCCACATTATTCCGTTTCAACCGCCTGTCAGCGCTAATTTATAATTAAACACACACACACACTTGGAAATCTGAAACTTGCAAGGAGACAATTTGTACGAGTGCATGAGCTGGAAAATGTAAATTGTATTTAAAATAGCTATAGTTGCTTCAATGCAAAAATGTTTTTGAATTATTATTATTAAAAATCTGCAAATTAAGTCACAATTCAAAGGTTTTCTATAAATTTTGCACATGTATTAAAGAATAGTAAATAAATATTTTTTAAGTGTAGCATAGTAAATAATTATAACACACTATTTTGTTATTTGAATCTAGGGTATTGAGACAAGTGAGACTAATATTTTATAAAAATATTTATAATAAGAATTAAATTTATTAATTTTTAAAAAAAATTTAAATACGAAAATTTTTAAAGTTTTTTTTTGACATATTAAATACATAATAAAATTTATTAATTTTTATTTTTATTTAATTTTAATGATTTACAAATTTAACATTTGTTAAGTTTTAAAGAGATGCCGATGGTAAATTGTTATTGATTATACTTAATTTAACCTAAAAAGTATTTTTATTTTCGAAGTGTGTCTTATTAAGAACGTGTTTTCGTCAGAAACCTCAGTTAAGTTCTCAACTCTTGTTTTGTGAAGTTTATATTGATAATAATTATAATACGATTAATTCAAATTTATTTGTTTCAAAAATCTCATGTACGTTACTCATATTTTTTTCTTAAATTGAACAAAATGCATCAACTCTGCTAGAATTGTAAATGAATGCTTTGTTTTTTTTTCATTTAGAAAATAAAAAGTATAAAATTGCCACTTTTCGTTAAAGAGAAAAGAGAATCTAGCCAGAGATATCCCCTCCAAAAATGAGTTTTTGCACCTTGGCCGCTGATATAAATATTTTATTTTTAATTTCATTTAAGGCAAGCCATATTTCCGTGGGTGCGTCGGTCGGTTTCTCAAATTAGTCTAGCTCTCTGCCGCTGTACAACTCCCAGGCCGGGGCTGCGAAATGTTTTATGATTGCGAGCTGCGTTATTGGCTGGCAAGACCGCATGCTAAGAACAATGCGAGAGAACGAGAAAAGCGGCGCATTAACTATTCAACCGAGCCATCTTGAGGTGCGCCTCAATTATTTAACCATTTTTCATTGCTATGGTAACCCGAGAATTATTATCATCTCGCAGCTTTTTTATGCACGCGCGCGCGTTTTCTTTTATTCCCTTTTTCGCCGGCCGCTCTCCACAGCAATAAAAGCAGAGAGAAAGAGAAAAAAAGTTAGAATAAAGAACCCCGGCGAGATTGAAGCAGGCCGCGTTTTATTGTCTCTGGTCGGACTGAAAGAGTGAGTGGCGGTCAAGGTAAGATGTGCCCATCAGGGTCAAACGCGGCCAAGGTGGGAAACAATGAGCCGCAGTTTGAGGCCTCCAATTAGCAAAACGGCCTCTCGAGCGCCCGCCAGTGTATCACAAAAACCCTCACGTGGTACCCCGAAGCGACTACCACGCAGTTTGCTTGACCACTCACGGTCTTTATTTAGGGCTAAGCTCGTGTGAGTTAATCTAAAAAGGTCTTTCTGAATACAATTATTATTAAAATTCAAATAAATTTTAATTTTTTGTATTTTGCTCCATTCCTTACTTAAATTTTGTAAATACAAAAACATCTCACTTTAGTTTAAATTAGAAACATTAAAAAAAATCCTATTTAAAAATTTTTATGAAATTTATTTGTATTGCATAATTTTTGTAATGGCTTTTCTTGGGTGGTTAATCAAAATTTCCCTGGAAATAAAAAATTAACTTGAAGTTAACTTTATATTATTAGAAAATTCTTAATGCACTTTTAAATTTAAGATTTGTAAAAAAATATTTCCCCTTACTCGCTGCTGGAAATGAGAAAAGTTCCCACCTACTTTTTGGCGCTCGGTCTTTTGCAGTCAGCAAATTTATTTCTCTTTCTAGCTGCAGCTGTTACCGCGTGCTGCTGTGATCACTGACTGATGAAAAACTCTGCCACTTCATCATCGTGCATTAAAAAGGGTCGCGCCCCCAGTCGCTGCACCGTCATTTTCCGCATTTAATCTCAGCTTTAAAAATTCTACTTCATCTCCTTACATTGCATTATAAAAACTGAAAATTGTTCGGTCATCTTTCAAATTGCTTGTTTTGCTCCGTTTTTTATTCTTTCTGTCAAATTAAAAGCAAGAAGGATGGAAAAATCCTAGTTTTCTTCAAATTGACGCACACACTGCTTTACATGTGCGCGCCTACTGCAAATATGAAAAGCGCAGTAAAACAGCCGTCATTAGTGTTATTCACGTGTCACTCCAATGCACTTGCGACCTTAATTTAAAAATTAACGCCTACCATGAAAATGGAAGAGCTGTCTCGGTTATATTTAACATGTTAAGACTGAACAAAATTGTTCAATCAAAAAATCTGAACCATGCCATGAACTTTAAATTGGTGTTTTAATTATTGCCACATTATTATTATTTTTTAATTACACTTTTACATAAAATTTCCATGAATTAATCCGTATGAAATTTATAATTTTTTTTGTCTTGATTGTTTCAGGAAAGAGCTTCACGTTAACCATAATTGTGAGCACGTCGCCGCCTCAGATCACCACCTACACAAAAGCCATAAAAGTGACGGTTGATGGGCCTCGGGAGCCTAGAAGTAAGACAAGTAAGTGCGTTTTCAATGCACTACATCCATACGTTATTAATTAGCCCTCATCTCGGCCAGGCGCACACACATTGAAATTTGTAGCCTCTCCTTTCGTTCCAATTACACCCCTGATCCTTGAGTAGGGTATCGATCCACTCTTGTCACTCCAGGTCACAATCTCTTTCTTGTTTAAATCGTAGCAGTTTTTAATTAAAGCTGATATCTTCAATTTATTCCATCGGCAAAATCCATCAAAGGGAATTTCAATATTTGCCATTGAGTATTTTATTTTCCATTCAGCCGGCGTTGTTGCGAGGCACCATAAATAAAATAGAAATAGAAGGCAATAAAAAAGTAGGAGTCAATAAAAGTCAAACGGGCAGACCAAATAACACAACACTAATTGATCTGATATGCGTTTGCGTTTTTGAAACACCTCCAATCTGCTTGCCAAGCATGTAAAATCCGACGTGTGTGTGCCCCGTATAACCGTCAATTTATTTTATTGACCCAAAAACTATGGACGTTGTTTTATTGCATTGCTGCGCACGATTAATTAATTGGTTTGCCAAACACTCATAAAGTGATTGTGGGGTGGAAACAGCAACGCTTTACAACTACCAATAAATTTCACAAGTAATATGGAGTTTAGAAGAAATTATCTCTCAAAAATTAATTTTATAATTTTTAGCTCTAAATAATTTCAATTAGTAACCAAACAAAATCTAAAATATTTGAAAAATTATTTTGTTTTAATTTCCCCTATCACGTGTTGCTGTTTTGATGTCACAACTACTTACAATTATTAAGTCGGTCAGAGGGCATCGGAGATGAAAATCTCCCTTCTCTCTGTCGTTGGCCGGAAATAATTCTCAGGTACTACAAGTAAGTTGTGTGCGTACCAATGCCGTTAAGAGGGTGCCAAGCTGCCTTGACCCAAGGGGGAGCAGCTCTCCAACTGGCTTTATTACCGGCAGATAAAGAGGCAATTACTGATGTTGCAGGGCACCAGGCGTTCCACCCCTTCCACTTTGGTCATCGAACACACTTCCACTTCGGCAACCCCCTTGACCAGCCTCGAATACCTGACCCTTTGGCTGGATCGTTACCCTTCAAACTATCAGGTAAGTTTGTATAGAACCTGACTGACTTTGGGAATTTCCGTTGGTGATTTAATATTTTTATCGATGGAGAGTCCAGTTTAGATGGGGGAGATTTTCTTACCAGGGGTCAAGAAAAGTGTTATTGTTGTTCCAGCAAGCACTAAAGCGATGATGTTATGGCTGGCAATAAATTGCAAACTATTCCTTTTAAGAGCTGGGGGTCAGTCCTCTTCTAGACTGCACTCACCAGAATAAAGTATAAGAATAATCTTCAAAAGTAGAATAAAATAGTTCATTGTCCAAAGAGTTTTATTTATATTCTTGTTTGGAAAAAAAGTTTTGTTTAAGAGTTCAAAGTTTTCAAATAAAAAAAGTGCATTTAAAAAAACAAGCTTAAAATTCTAGAATTCAAAATTATTATTCATTAAAGGTTATTTTTATTTCTCTTTATAATGAAATCGGGCTGATTTTTTCCTTTTCAATCTAAGCCGTGAAATTCGGTCCCCTCTAATGCTGATTAAGAAGCAAGTCACATTTCACACACTTTCGGTCGGTGTCAAATCCAACACGGACCCGCAGGTCAATCGCAGTGAGGCGATCTCTGTCGTGCGAAACGCGCTCCACGAAATGCAAAATTAATGGAGTAGGTTTTGGCGGGGGATGCGCGCCGATGATAAACTATCTGCCCCGGCTCTCAAGAATCGGAAACAGTATCATCCCAAGACACCGGCAAACGTCTGCTCGCCTTTGCATTCGCAAGGGCGTCGCTCTCGCATTGAGATGCAAAACCAGCAGCAACCCTCTCGCATTTGACAATTAATCTTATCCGGCGATGACAGCCGGCAGGGAGCGGAATGTGATTTTTTTTGTTCGTCTCACAAGAAGAGTGCGATTTATTTTTCTCTTTGTCTGTTTTCTTTCTTTTCTTTTCTGCCTTCTGCTTATCAACTCCCGGCACGTTCCTGAGCGATGCGGTGTCACACTTGGCGCCGCAGACTTACTTTCTTCTCTCTCTTCCCTCTTTGAGGGACGCGTTTTCGCACCTTCCCTATTTGTGTTCCTTCCGGGCGCATTAATTAAATAGACTCGCAAGGAACGAGGTGTAAAGTAAAGAGACGTGCTGCACGACTTGCGTGTTTCCCTTCCGATCCAAATCTATTAAGTCCAATTAGTGTTGGTTACAAATTCTTAACCAGAAAATGGGGAAAATTCTCAAAGGGAGATTACTTTGAGAAAAAAAGTAAAGAAATCTCTTGGAATTGACTTAAGAAATATTCTTTTTACTTATATCAATAAATTCAGAGTAAAATAAATTTACTAAAAGGAGATCCGTGTAAAATCCATTTACTTCAATTAATTTGACTTTGTGTAACTAGCAATGATCATCAACTCTTGCCTGCTCGAATCCTCAAAATTTATGCAGTACATTCTAATTTAAATACTATGATTAATAAAGAACTAGTTACAGTTTTAATAATTTTCACTTACTAATGCCAAGTAAAAAATAAATATAAATTTGTACAAATTTTTAGTCCTAGAAAAGATAAAAAAAACTGGTCCAGTTTAACTGGATTTATTAGCAACGTAGAATTTCAGAAAATCTAATAATTAAAGAAAAATATTATAAAATTTTTTTATGAAAAGTGTTTGTTAAAAAGTATATTTTAAAACATTGTAATTCAATAATATTCTTAACTTAAAAATATTTATTCATTTCTATGAAAGAAAAAAATTTCTTGTAATGGAATATGCAAATTTTATTATGGATCTTGTCGAGTGATTCCGGCGTTTCAACAGAGAGAGCTCTCGCTCTGTGCAAAATCGTCGAAAACGGCGGTACCCACAGCGTGAGCACCACTGGCGAGTCGCTCGGGGGTTGAAAGGGTTAGCGCGAGATGGCAGAGATATTCAGCGCGGCAGAGGGTGCCGCAGTCCGACGCGAGGCGCCACCCTCTGCTTCTAATTTGCATGGCAACATTGCTGAATTGTTAATTGCGCGAAAATCCGGGCTGCCGATAAAATCGCTTCGCAATTATTTCGCGAAAAGGGTGAAGGCACTTTCGGTGAAAGTATGTATAGTACAAGTGTGGCGTCGGAAAAAGTCGGGAGAGTGCCCGCTTCTTCTTTTCATAAAGTAGAAAAGAAGAGGGAAGAAGATGTGCAGGGAAGGGGAGTTGGAAGGCGACGTCCTTCTTCTGGAAATCAAGAGCTCGGTGCTAAAAAGAGTGGCAGCTTTGTTTTTTTCCTTAATGAAAGAAAGACGGATTCGCCCTTTTTCCTCTCTCCTAGTCGCTATAAAGCTGAGCGTTAATTTTGCTTAAGCTGCAGGCAGACGTGTCCTCCTCTCCTAAAAAATAAAAGCAGCCAAGGGAGAGTGGAAGAGAGAGAGGAACGCGCTGAATTTTCTTATTTTTCCCAGCAGCAGCTCATAATTAAGAAAGAATGTCAAGCCTCCAGGCTGCAATCTTGTAAAGTAGACGATTGACAAAGTAATTAAGAAAAAAGCTGCTGAGCGTAGAGAAAACACAAAGTTTTGCTTCACGCGCGCGGGGTTGGCTGCCGAGAGTGCGACACGCGAGCCCCCCCGTCTAAAGCAGAGGGTGGCTTTGCTGTCTTTGGCAGCGAGCGAGCGGAGCGGCGACCGCCTGCTCATTTGCAGCACCAAGGCGGCGGCGGCCAAATTTAATTACCCATCCCTCCTAATTTCGAACCCTTATACTTGACTCGCCCGCGCCAACCGGCGTTCTCGCCACCCTTTTAACATTTGCACCCCCGCGGGGCAATCTGTAAAAATTGCTGACATTTTTAATGCGCTAGGCAGATTATTTCGAATTGCTTCTCCAAGAAAGGAATAATGAGCCGTCGCGAAAGTGCCAACCACCGAGGCCGTAAATTTTATAGTTCACACGCAGTGAAAGGGGAAAGATAGACCTTTCCATAACTAAATCTTTTTATGATAATCAAAGATATAGATGCCTAATTACATTTTTTTTTACATCAAAATTTTTCATTTTAATTTTTGTAATTTTACTATAAATGTAAAATTTTGTCATCTTTCTTCTTAGGAATCGTCCAGCACCTTGGTATGAACGCTGGTGAGCATCCGTGGAGTGCGTTCAGGGCGTCGCACCCCTATCCGCACCAATACTCTTTGCAACAGCCCACCGGATTACACGGTCCACATTTCCCGGCGACGGCAGCTGCAGTAGCCGCCGCTCACGCACTCGCCTTTCCCGGTAGAGCAGCGGCCGCGGCGACGGCGGTCCATGATGAGCAGTCCGCGCTGCAAAACCTTAGCACAAACGAAGCACTACCAAGACCAAATTCTCCAGTTAGAGCAACATGTGAGTTCAAATACTTCTTAATGTGTATTTTCTTTCTTTTTATAATCATTTAATATAATTGGAATGAAGGAAATGCTTTGCGTAATATCACGTATTTTGGCTGATTTAATTTCAATATTCAGAATTATTATATTTTAATTTACCAAGTTGCCTACAATTTTAAACAATAGTATTTTAATTATTCTACTAGTAATGTGGTTGCTAATTTTTTAGGCAGAAGATTACAAAAAAAACTTCATTAATTTCACTATTAGAAACCCGTAGTCCTATTTCAGCACTAACGCACCATGATTTCATATCTTAAATTACCAAATTTGGCCAAATAGCTGCTATAATTATAGAATAAAATTGATCAAATTTTTTTGTTATTAAATTAACATAAAGCTAAAATGATAATAGATATTACAAAAAATATAAAAGTCTTATTTTGTGCATTAAATATAAGAATATGTAATGTCATAAACTATAAAACTATTTAACAAAATTTCTTAAATAATTAAAATTAAGAAATTAATTGATTAAGTAAATTTTTTGCGTTACATACATGAGGCATTATTTTGTTTGTTTTAATTTTGCAAATCTTGGATATTTAATTTCATTCAAACAAATTTTTTACCCAATCAATTTATAAACATGGCTATAAAAAATTAAATTGATTTAATTTCGTTTCTTTGCAGGCGCCGAAAGCATCACAAGTCGTCCAAAGCTGCTCGCCCCCAGCCCTAAAGCAGCGACAGTTTCAAACGACACCCCTACCTCCAGTTCGTCTGCATCCCGCCACCGCAGCACACCCTGTTCGACCACCCTGAGCCCCAGGTCTCCTGAGACGGCCGGTTCGGCGACCACCGAGTCCTCAGCTACCCCCGTCCCCAGCTCCCGACCAACCCTTCCCCTGATGCACCTGCCCTCGTTGCTTGGCGGCCACAGCTACTACAGCAGCATGTTTCTGCACAACCCTCTGCTACCCCCCAGCCTCCTCTACTCGCACCTCTACCCCAACCACTTCCCTGGCCACGAACAACTGATGGCCGCCGCGCACCTGCGGCCGCCGCTCGAGTCTCCGGCCGATTCTTCCGAGGACAAAACGCACCCTGAGGACTGCAGCATGAAGGGAAGGGCTGAGACGACTTCGCCACCCCCCTCCTCATCTTCACCACCCTTGAAGGCTTCAACGCCACCGGCTGACGTGACGCAACCGGCGCGGTCAAATGTGTCCAGCCCTGGAAGGGCGATGGCGCGTAAACCCACCACAGATGTGTGGCGGCCGTATTAAAAATTATTAAAAAAAAAAAACGATTAGTCATTTCAAGTCAATTTTTTATTGAAATACTTTATGTGATCCCTCTGTGTTTAAAATATATATTAATTAAATAAAATGTGAATAGAGTTAATTTACTTAGAAGGAAGCATTTCTGTTTCTGTAAATTTGTTAATTGTATTTGTTGATATAAACCTTTTAAAATGTATCTGAATTTCCCTCCGTTGTAGCACCCAGTGTAAAGAGCACCCTGACAAATCAAAACTTCCGTTCGCAGATGTCGTTGAGTTTCCGCGTGTGAAATGTAAAAAATAAATAATCAGTCTGTACAAATGGAAATAAAAAAATTAAACTGTTATTCCCAATTCACACTGGTTCTGACAACGAGAGAGTGCGATTGTAAAATCACCGAGTATGGACGATTCATTTGAGCAAATGCAATGTATGATGTACGTTAAATGGAAGGAAAATAAAATTCACCACTCTTTAAAGTACACAAAAGCGAGAGCTCATTTCTAACTTTCTGAAATATATCACCATAGGGGTTGGTTTTTCCGTCGCAAGAGGAAGAAGTAACATGACACGTGTAATGGGCCCGATGCCTCCAATAAAAATTTAAATAACCTCTTGGCTGCGTGACTGCCTTTTATTTTTTAATCTCGGGTAAACAAAAAATTACTCGCCTTGAAAAGTCATCTCGATCCCCAGCAGCATTAAGAGTGGCTGTCGAGTGCCTTTTTCATCCCCCCTGTATAATGCCGCCAATAATAAGGCGCAGGGGTGCGCACCTCTTCTTAATGAACCATCGCAAACTAGCTCCTTTCATTCCAAATTTAAAAATGTCTATCTTGTCCCTTCGGCTGCACCCCTCGATCTCTCGCACCTTTTGGCTGCTCTTGATAGGCATTAAGGAGGAAAAATTACTTTGCTTCCGAGTTTGATTTATTCAACAACTGATAAGTGAAACTTTTTATACGCCCCCGAGGGGGAGAAGACGCAAGCCAGCGAGCGGAGAGAGAAAAAAGAGAGCAAGCGGGCACGACACAGCCGAAATAAAAATACATAAAAAGAGCGAGGCAGTGAGGAAATTGAAACCCTCGACGGGATAAAAAGCAGCGCTCCGCTCTCAGCGTGGGTGTCTTTTAAAAATAATTACATTGGAAACAAACTTTATGCTCCTTTATTCATATTTTATGGCTTGAATATTTTAGACTCTTTTTCGAGTTGTGCGCAGTGGCGCGAGTTATCAAAATAAAATATATGACACTGGGGAAAAAGGCAGAAAACCATAGTGTGCTGCCAAGGGTGATTGAAAATGAATTTGTTTTATTCTGTTTGAAAAGGAGGAAATTATTCTCACTTCAAATTAATGAATGAACTTTTTTTGGCCTGTTCTTCGAGAATATAACGAATTGAACTGGATGAACACGATCTTTGATATTTTTCTTCTTCTGTTCTTACAATAAAAATTCTCACCTAATTTTAATAAAAAAAAAGATGAAACTTTTTTCCATTATGAATTCTCGACATGTTAATTATTGTGAAATCACTTACCTCAAGTTTAATGCGATGACAGATGTGAGATGATCCTCGTCAGCAAATTGCAATTTCATCTTTCAACTTCTGCATGCTTGAAAGTCGAGATAAGATGAGCAGTGATCTGATCGATTATCATTTCTAGATGCAGTAACAACTAGTGCTGTATTTCAAGCCACTTTGATGCACATATTCAATGAATTACATAAATTATTAGCACAGAAATTTTAAACAATACATTATGTGACCCGAGAACATTGAAAAAATCAACGCAGTACGTAACAGTGCTTTTATCGCAACGTCCTGGCTTTCATACACTAAACATCGAACAGCTGGATGGCCTGGATGGATTATAGTTCAGCTGTTAGGAGGGGGAGTGTCACCCAAAATCCAGTCTGGCTAAGTCAGCATCCATTTAATTTGGCATTGGTTGCCAATGATATACCAATCTGAAAAATTTTTGCCCATCTTGAATCGTATTTATCAAATTTCAATTATCTATGATTTTCTGGGCATCAACTGATTGTTGGACTGCAGCTGTAAACTTTATTGTGAAGAATTGGCAGTGTTTGTCATTTGTGCTGTTATTGAAAGACCCAATTTGTTTGGGTTACTTCCTGATGATAGATGACACTACTTCCTAGACTCGCAGACGTGACACGAATTCAACGATCTCTTCGACGAAACGACCATCACCAAGTGTAAAAACTAAGAACAACGCAAAAAAGCAGAAAAGGTAAGGATTTATTTTTTCTACCCTAGTAAACTAATTCATTTTAATGGAATTTTTGTCAAAATTTCATTATTATTTTCTTATTAACTCATCAAATGAATTTAATATTCTTTTTCGTGGAATTTAGCATAAATATGATGGTCACTTTTTTCCAGCAACTTTAAGAACGTATAAGCAGAATTTATTTCATATTTTTTTATCCTTTATGTGTTAGAAAACACCGGGAACCGTTTTTTTCTAGAAAGTAAACTTAATTTACCCTACATACTTTTTACTTTTTGCTCAACTGGTCTCGCCTTCCTAACTTTAAAAAACACATACGACAATAGTAACACTAACTTTTAGTTTATTTGATTCTTATGATTTTATTGGTTCAGAACATTGTGTTGATTTTTGTTTTATTACTTGTTTGTAGCAACAACATGATCATTTAATATCTATTTCAAATCAAAACACTTGTGATTAATGAGGCCTACCCTCCAGTCTCTAATATATAATATGATTGTATAATCGGAGACTCAATTGTCTAAAACTAATCCTCTCACAGTGGAACTGAGCAGCACGCATATCAAATCAAAACTATGTGTACACCACATTATGCTGGTGTACGGATAATGAAGCGTCTAGCCGCGTTTCGCCGAAATGATGCAGCGCCGCGTGCATGCGCGCATCCTCAGTCGGCGAGATACAATTATTCGGGCGACTCATTTGCATCAGAGGCGAGGCCACCGAGGGCAGGTACTGTAGTAGTACAAATGGCATCATCAGCAGATCAAAGCATGGCAAACAATCCGCTTATAAACCGGCGGTATGAGCTCGGCGGTGAGGCCGCGGTGAGTGATCGGCCGGCGTGCATGTGAGCATCACTGATCGCATAATGGACTGCCATTCACTAACTAAGCCCGCGCCTAATAAACACATACGGCTAATGCAGCCCCTAATGATGTTAAACCTTTTTCCATCTGCTAATGAACGAAAATGTCGCCGCTGCTGCCGTCGGTGCGCAGACCGTTTTTTATTCTCCCTCACTCGCAGCGCTGGATTTGCAGGCCGTGATTTTGAGCCGCTCTTTTCTGCGGTCGGGATTTATGTTTTGGTCGCCGCTTTGTTCCCTTTCTGTTTATGGCATTCGTCATCAACACCGTTAATAATGGGAAAATGCGTGAAAACTGTTCGTGAAAATGCAGAAAAATAATTTAAAATAGAGTGCAATTAAAAGTAAAAAATTTATTTATTTTATAATTATTATTTCTAATTAGAAAATTTATCATTCATACAAAGCTTGTAAAGACCTCATTGGTAGTGTTTTTCACTTATTTTATAAATAACTTTTTTAGAAAATCAAATGAAAAATTTTGAATCAATTTCAAAAAATTTTCAACGCTTTAAGTATCAGGTAGTATAAAAATACTCGTTTCCTTTTTTCCTCTTTTCATGTTTATTTAACCTTTTCCCTTCTACATAAATGTTCAGAAACTAAGCAGTATAATGGCGGCTGCTGAACAGTTTGATAACAGTTATCAATGCGCACCTTGAAAAAAGAGGGGAATTTTTTTGAACCTCGCCGGAACATTTAGTAAACAATGAGACGAACAAGAGCACGCAATGGAATACTTCTCATTTTAACTGGCTGCATGTACATGTATTTTACTAGATCATCTGAAGAGTACGGAATTTTACGAGAATAATGTATTCGCTTTAAACAAATTTGTAAATTTTTTCAGTGACGTTTCCTTTATGGAAGATCCTGTGGCCGTCAATTCAAATTCGACGTGTAATGCTACACGCCATTTGTATTTTCTAAAAAATCACAAATGCGGAAGCACCACTGTCCACAACATTCTGGTCAGGAATGGCCTCCGAAAAGGCCTTAACATAGTTCTTCCAAAATCAGGTTTTTTTGCATCAAATGAGACTTTTTCAGAAGTAATCAAATTTTGTACTTATTGTTAGGAAATAATGTGGGATATCCAAAGCTTTTCCACAAACGTCACATCACTGATTATTTGGCTAATAAGAATCAGACTTATGATTTACTTGTGCACCACAGTCGCTTCCATCTGAAAAACATCAGAAAAATTCTGGCTCCTGACGCCAAAATGGTGACCATCGTTCGAGACCCTGTCTCGCATTTTGAGTCACTCTTTCAGTTTTATGAATTAGAAAAACGTTGGTTATGGCCTGGAGCTACGATAAAAGATCTGTTAAAAATGGAAACTCCTGCCATATTAAAGCTCTTCGAGTCTAAAAAGAGAAATAGAAATGGGTTATTTGCCCACAATACGGTAAATAGTTCTACACATTTTTTCTCACGGTCAAAATTATATATGATACACAACTCAATTATTATTTAGATAGCATTCAATCTAGGAATGGAGCCTAAATATTTTGCAAGTGAGCCAAAAGTGAAAAATTTGATGAGCATGGTGGACAGAGAGTTTGATTTGGTGATGATATCTGAGCATATGGAAGCATCCATAGTTTTGCTTGCAGACCTTCTCTGCTGGCCGTTAGAGGACATGGCCTATTTTTCGTTAAATGTTCGCACAAAATCCCTCACTGAAGAACTTACGATCGAAGAAAAAGAAAAAATTCGAGAAATCAACAAGCTTGATGATGTACTTTACACGCACCTCAGGTTTCTAACTAAGATAGAAAGATTTTCATAGAAGAATTTCGCGATTAAAAAGTATTAAATATATCGATCTTGCAGGACAAAGTTTTTGAAAAAAGTCGAAGAGTATGGTGAGCAGAGAATGAAGAACGAGATTGAAAAATTAAAAAAGCTTAACAACAAAGTTTTGGCAACATGTTTTGATACGACCGCCGAGGATGACTTAATGAAATCTGAACATCTACGGGATGGTGCTCCTGAAAGTTGCAAACTATTTACTTTACGTGGTGGAAGCGTTAAAAAACTCATCTTGGATAAAAAAAAAAATTATTTTAACAAATTTAATTAAATAAAAATTTAAAAATTATTAACTTTCATAGATTTTTCTATTTATTGTTAGTCGGCCTATTTCATTTCACATTCAACGTGCTACAGTCAGAAAAACAAGCAGTATAATATAATGGCTAGTGGACTGCACGATAACAGTTATCACCAACCACCTTAAAAGCAGTTGAATGTTCGAGCTCCACGCATTCTACTCGGACGATGAGACCAACGCGAACGTTCTTTGTAGTTTTCCTAATTTTGATT